TTTCTACTGTGAAACAATTCAAATCAAATAATTTTTTTCTTAAAAAACCTGTTTTAATTTTTAATTCAAATAAATGTAATGAAGGATATTTCCATAGCCATGGTAATCACATCACTTCTGAGTGCAGGGTGGCTAGATATAGCCACATACCATTCCTCACTCATCCCTTTAAAGTCACACAAGTTCACAACTAAGATTTAAAATGTAAAACGTGAATGGCAATATCCTAAGTGACATAGTAGTCAGAATTCAAATCTTAACAACAAAATTGAATGTTTACAGAGGCATCAAACAGCAAAATGCACAATAAGGCCAATCCTATGCAGACACCATACACATCAGCTACATCCGAAGAAATACACATGTGCCATTCCCAACACAACCTCAAGTCCAACTGGATAAAGAGGTTCAATGTTTGGAAAATTTCTTCACTAATCGTATCCCTCAGTAAGTCTTAGCCAGCCAAATGGCAAACATAAATTATTAATAGAATAACTAAAGTCATTTGTGACTTTATTGACTCCAATGTACAAATTTTACCTACATCTTCTTTTCCACAATCTGTTGAACAATGACTTTTACCATTTCATGCACTCTGCAAAGTAGAGAGTTTTGGGAACAGATACAACTGAAGGAGAAATTGACATTCAACTATTCTTAGCTATGAAACATGCACCAGGTATTAGAACCTTTTCTAACACCTTTCATGGCTGTCCTGCTCATTTGTTCACTGTTTCTAAGCCAACACTGTGGGAAACAGAAAGCTTACTTACATTTTTTTTAACTAATACCTTCTGCCAGTTGCCTAGAAAACATTCATAGTCAACCTGCCATGAACTTAAAGTGTGTCAGAAGTAAAGGAAATAAAGTAGAGGAAATAAAGGAAAAAAAAAAACAAGCAATTTGTTTGAAGTTCATATTAAATTTAGGAATATTTATTCTCTGGATGTGGCTACAAAAAGGATAAATTAAGGCCCCCACCCAGATGAATTTTTGGAATTTTAGCATATTTGAATATACATCATTATATCAGCTACTGAAATACATATTTTATCTTACATTATTCTTTCTGCACATTCGTTTGTAAAACACACACCCTTTTCATTGCTTTTATCAGAGAGAGAAAAGTATAATATGTACATAATAAACGTGAGGCACATCCCTCTTCATTCCCCTCACCTGTTCACCTGTGGCAGACATAGCTAATCAATCATGGCATCCTTTGCTGCTGAAGAACTCTGAATTTTTAGACATCGGGAATCCATTACCCATCAGCTGCTGCTGGCATTCAGGTTGAAGACTATTTCCCAGCCTTGGTATGAGAGCATGTTCATTGACCCTATTTATTAGCTAAAATGTCTCAAGAAGAGCTTTTAACCTATTCTGCTGCCCTCAGAGACTATGACCCAGTCAGAGGATTTAATTCATGTGAACATATTTTATAAACCATGCAGTTCCAATCACACACTGAATGAATCTGATTAATTTTTTTGTAACATGAATAATATCTCCCCAATTGATCTCCTCCTTGGCTCTCCCCACATACATTTATTTTATCTATTTAGAAAATGTGGATTTTTAAATTTTTGGTTTTATTAAAACTGTGAACACCTGAATTCCTTTTGAATGTGCTATCTGATACCAACTAGAAGAAAGGGTGGCTGGAGAAGGAGAAAGCTCGAAATACCACACCTGGCACATCATTATGGTGTTCTAGCAGTCTTTTCTGCACGGCTGGAAGCTGTGTGATTAATAGCCCCTCGTCCCAATTACATGGATATTATACTTGTCTTCCTTTGGCTGTAGATGGGAGATATCTTACATATGTGTGATGCAAATGTGGGCTTTGTGAATGCTAATTTCAAAATCAGCCAGGAGTTGATTGGCAGAAAACCGAACAACGGAGTGACAGGCTTGCCAGGGTTCAGGAATCTGTGAAAGAAAGGCTGAATGAGGGTGGAGAAAAAGAGCTGTAGAGATTTGGAGTTAATCAAGAGCAGTAGCTGAGAAAGCAGCAGTTTATGAAAGCAGATCTAAGCCAGATATCCTGGAAGAGAGGGCAGTTTCAAAGACTCAGATGAAAACAGTGAGAAGAGTGAGTTCAGCTGACTTTACAAAACTGCATGGATCTAAGAAGCCAAGATTATGCCTTAAACTGCATGAGCCATATTCTTTGTTTACCACATCTCCCAAATGTGCCTGTTTGCACCTGACGTGTACTCTGGGGACCCTTGTTGTATTTTTGACTGTGACATCTTCAATGTCAGAGGTCCTGACACCTTAGTTTCTCTAGATGCCAGAAGGAGACAACCACTCAGGAAGTTTCCCCTAGACTGACTGAATGCAACATTTGATTGTCAAGGAGATGATCTGGGTAACACAAAAACTGAGGAACAGAGATTCAAGACACTATTTCCTCAATTAATCATTACATCAGTGATCAGAATGAAGATAGGAAATTTTGTTTGCAGTGCAAGTTGTTAAAGATAAGCCCTTTTTGGTTTGCATTATAAAACTTGAGTTCAGATTTGCTAAATTTTCTGTATAGCAGATGCATTTAACCCAAGCCTGGCTAAATAATAGCAAGCTCAAAAGTAGAAAATGTGTTGAAACTTCTCCAATTAATGGCTTGGCTGTGCAGTTGCTAACTCTGGTGTTCCACAGTCAACACTGCAAAAGTAGCACACCTCTGGAACAAAGAACAGGTGGAAGAGGTACAGGTAAAGATGTCACATTCTAGGATGGTTTGCTCAAACTGTTCCTTCACTCCACTGGGGGCAATGCAGACAGGAGAAACAAGAGCCAGTAGCATGAAATATTGGTCACATCTGTTCTTTGGGATAACCCATCCATCTTCTTTGCGCTCTAGCAACCTTGCTTTTACAGATGGTTTTTACTTATGTAAAATTATTTTTTCTTTGGGTGTATATGTCAGCTTCAACATATGACTCCATGTCCAAATGTATTTTTTTTTCAGCCAATCCCAGTGTGCCAGCATTTTATGTGGCATTTAATAAATCTGTGAATCTAGTTTACACACACATACACACACAAACTAATTCAAATAACTTCCTAAAATAGTCATAATGTCTATGCACAAAAACTGTATCTTCACATCATCCTTGAAACATAGGTGGAAGTTATCCACAATTTTGTGGGTACAGTAAAAATAGGCAGTTCTACAGATAGTAGCTCTACAGTAAAGTTTGCTTAAAACCTCTTTTTAACACATGTTTAAAGATATTTTATCTGACCCCAAATCACAGAAATATTTCACTTTTCTCATGTAATTTTCGCATTAGATTACTTGATTTAAATGGATTTTAAAGAGTGAAATGGCTACTTCCATCCTATCAAATCTAACTTATTTTTACTTCTGGATTATCAAAATGAGCGCTTTTAGATTTAAACTATTATAGAAGATTTTGTTAATTGGAAGGAGTGTCTATGGTTGAACCTATATAAGGGAGATTACTTAGTGCTTTAGCCAGGAACATAATTCAAATGTTCCGGACATCATTTATGCTGATTTCCAAATAAAGAGCCCTTCCTCTTTCATGGCCATTCTGTGATAGGGTGGGACTGTGTGACCAATTCAGCGCAATGAACTGTGAACAATGAGCCTCTCCTCATAAGCAGAAGCGTGTGTGTGCCAATGTAGACACTCCACAGCTATTTTTACTCTCTGGCACAGCAACATGATGATGGAGATACTGGCTACTCCACTAGAATTGTTTCCTTGATCAGTGGAGCCTCCTGCTGACACACAAGAAGAAACCTTTATGGCTTTTATTTAGAGAATTTGGAAGTGTTTACTAACATAGCATACTAGCTGACTTAGTCTATCACAACACACACTCGCACACACACACACACACAAAATACACACATCCCATTAAAAATCTAACAAGGATATATTAGTTATACAATCTAAACACCCACACGCTCACATAGTTTTTTTCTTAAATTCCAGAAGAATTTTATGTTTCTCTGAATTTTATGCCACTCTACCCAGAACCCATTATTTCTTGTTATTAAAGAATTGTGAGCCAATATCATTTCCAAAATATTTAACTAAAGAGGTAACAAGCAGGTTCTACTTGCATCATTTGTTGTTAACAGCTTTAAGACTCTGCACATCAGTTGCATATCTGCATAGAATCTAAGAAAAATATATGCAGTTCTGCATTTAAGATCTGTAATGAATAAATGGATTAATACATCAGAAAGTTGCCTTAACTTTATAAATTTCATTATTACGCAGTTTTCCTTCTTGAGAAAGGGGTGTTTTAATTTATCTCTTTGTCATAGTAATACAATGTTAAATCATATATTTTGTATAACATAGGCATATGCAATACAATATGTTATTTGTAACTCCTACTGCCTCCTGGTAGAAGGAGGGTTTTTTTTTTTTTTTTTATCAACACAGTACTATGAAAAATGGGGGCATGAATGTTTTAGAAGTAGAATCTATAGAAAATGTTAATTTTTTTCTGGAAAAAAAGTGGGAGATGAAAGGTGATGGATGTTGCCTGGGAGAAATCTAAGAAGGAAGAAGGAGGTAGGGCAAATGAAAAAGAGAAATCCCAGGGCTAGCTGAACAGCCAAAAGAAGTGCTAGAAGAGAAAACAGCTATTGAAATCTTACAAATTTGAGTATTGTAGAATGTTAGTTATGAAAAAATATCTGATCATCCCTTCAGAATCCTTAGAAAAGTCTACCAAAAGTCAAGTAATCACATCTTGATTGATTGGATTTCCTCTGTAAAATGCTGATGATAACAAAGACTATTTACTAATTGCTGAAGAAAATCAATATGCTAAGTCTGGGGGAAGGTTTGGTTTAACCTGAGATTTTCCTGTTAAAAGTCGCATTAATGAGGAAAAAGCAAAAAAGGCCACACTTTACCCACAGATTCCATTTGTACGCACTGAGTTTGCACAGAAATAAAACAACCCCGGAGGCACTAGAAGGAGTGGTTGGCTGTCAACACTTACTGCGAGGACAATCTGCAGGGAACTATGAGCCACTTCTATGTACTGGTACTCCAGCAAACACCCTGAGACCGTGATGTAGCGATGGTCTTCTGGAGCCCAGTCTGGGGCGGGTGTCACTGACGTCACCGTACATCCTGGTCCATTCTCCATCCACCAAGATCGGTGCATTGAAATATTAAAAGTCAGGATAAGGTCTGTTTCCTGCAAGAAGGCAATTTATAAGGATGAGAATTACTCTATAAATGTTAATCAGTTTAGTTGGGACTGACTTTCTTTGACTTTCCCATTTGGAAATGTGGCATTTTTTTTTTCCTACCCCATACTGTATTTTACAAAGAGCAAGGACACATCTAAAGTAATTATGCATCTATGGATTCATCCCACTTATGAAGGTTTTTCCTCACTATAATAATATAGATGAAATTATTTTATTAGAGAAATTCCTAATGATTTATATTACTAATAATTTATATTAATTGTAACACCTTTTAAGAATTGCATATATTACAGAGGGAATGATTTAAACTTTTATCAAGTGAAGTTCATGCTATTCCAAATCCGCTTTATTTTTTTCTCTCCAAATGTTTACTTTTCACACATTTTAAATCTTAAAACTATACTTCAGTTCTGCAACATTTAACATAATATTGTGACTAATGCTTGAATTTATAAGACCTTTACTTAAGAAAACACAAGATTACTTGCTTTCTCACCCTTCCTATTATTTCAGCAAATCAGTTTCTCTTCAATCTTATCAATTTTTGTGAAATTGATCATAATATTTCTTAAGAATTAAGAAGTAAATATTCTTTAGGAAATATCAAATTCTTGCAGGGTGGAGATAACAAGTAAATTATTTAGATGAAGTTCACCATGTTAGGTGATACACAGCTATAAATGAAATAAAAGTAGAGTTTGCACTGAGAGAGCTTGCAATCACCTATGCCAACTTGGAGCTATCAATGGCACATGGGCAAATGTCTTTCAGGCAAAGAACGGCTAAAGGGAATGTATTAAAAGTATTTTATTATTCGGCAAGTCATGAAGGAAGATAAATTCTAAGAAAGAAAGGTCAGCTATGAAAAATTGCACTATGTCAGTTTCAGTGATAGTTACGGCCACAAGGTAATAGGTGCCAAGCACTCCCTCCAAAGTGAGGTTCTGGTGGACTAGACAGACCTATAGATAATGTTTTAAATCATTGTTTGTGGCCAGGGAATTTGGAGATTGCAAGTAGGACTTCTTTGGAGAAAGGTGTGCTATGAATGTCATCATCTCCATGGTGGCAGTTGGGTGGGGTTAGGGTGATCTGTCTTTTTCACAAGTCTATTGAGAAAAGCTTCAAAGTATCCTTTGGAATCTAGGAAACACAGCAACTAGTATCTGGCTCAGGCCTGATAAATCTCAAAATAGAGCCTGTGGCTAGAGCTACCTGCTAAGTGGTCAGACAAAAATTAAGCAGTATGTGGAAGGAAAGTGCACTGCTACATGTAGTGGATCTAAAGTAATGATCCTTGGTAGCAGATGTGGGCTGTAATGAGAGAGAGCTAACATGGTCTTTCTCCCAAGGATGTCCAAGAAGACCAGTGGGTAGGTGGTAAATGGCTGAATCTTTACCATCACCTATTCCTAAGGCATGAGAGAGGGAGTGTAATACAGTAAGCATGGAAGAGACACCAACTAAATCATGTACCTACAAGTGAGATATTTAATGCAATGCAGGGTTTCTGAAAACCCCAGAGAATTGTTTTGAGACACTTTTCAATTTCATTAGCCACCAAGCTCTCGTAGTACCTATATATCTCTCCTGCTCCCTTATCTCTTCTCCATTGTTATACTCCAAGCACGGTGGGGTCTTGAGATCTCAGATAATAGTTGTGAGATAGGGAAGGGGTTAGTTAGTAATGGCTGAAGTCAAACAGGGAACATACAACTTTTCCCTACTGGAAGGAAGAAGTTTAATTTTGAATAAAATTTGGATATTTTATTATAATACCGGCATATTAATATCTAAACAGAGACTACTTGGAAACTACAGTGACTTCGGATAACTTTTTGTTATCTGGAAGTAAACACAAAAGTAGGACATCTGCTATTTATTTTATGTGATGGTAGCAGAAGAATCAGGTCCGTGGGTAGCCCTGCAGGGGAAATCATGAAAAAGAAATGTTTTTTATGTTATTTTTCTCAGAGTCATACTAATTTGAGGTTTGGTTACCAAAGCAAACTGGAGAAATTCCCAGGGCCTAAGAGAAAAAAGAAAAGCATTCAAAAGGGCAACCAATAAGAGACTAAGCTGTGAGGGCAGCCAGACTTGGACAGCCTAGCAAAAACACAATTCAGTTCCCTAATCACTGCAAATATCTAACATACATAGCCCAAGGTCTCAGTAAACCTCCCTCTCTCACAGGAAGTCAACATCAACTGAGGTTTCATTTGAAACAACGGTAAGGAGGATTTTCTGAGACTTAGAACTTGGTTATTTGCATTATTGCTCCTCATCTGTTGAAGCAAAATTGGTTTACCATACAAAGCTAGATGATTCAATAAACGACTATGCACGAGTTTATTGGGGTTAATCATAATTGCAAACAGGACTAGAGCCCAAAGCAGTGACAGTGAAAATATGCTTATGAGCTATAAGACAGAGCAGTGGTTCAGATAGGGAACTATCCCATTATGCCGGTGCTGTCATGGATTTTGCAATGGAAGTCCCTTGTCCTTGGAAGCCTCTTAGTCCCAGCACACCAGGACGGTTAGTCACCATAGCTGCAGAGACAAGTTTTTAAAAAGAATTGACGTAAGGACTATTTTGCCCATTAGAGCTGTGGTGATCAGAAGTGCTCATTCATTTAGTAATTATTTATATCCTAACTACTGCCAAAAAAAGAATCTTGTCATAATAAAGCACGTATATACTATTAAAACAAAGGTAAAGAGTAAGAGCTAAAAATGAATGGAGATGATAGCTAGTGAGCCAGGAAACCAAGACATGAGTAAGTGCCTCACTTGGATACTCAATTCAGGACTGACTTCTTGGTAATAACAGAGACACAATGGGAACACAGGTATAATTATCTAAAAAAATGACGAATACCATCTCTGTAAGAAAGACAGTCTTTTCTTTCCTAATGCTAATATCTTAAGAGGAATTAACAACTGTATAAATATTTTTATACAAAATATGTATAATGTATCAGATGGCATCTTTAGTTGATTTTTCTTCCATAATTTCAAGAATACTGGCAGGGAATTATGCTGGACTTAACAGACATCTGAGCCATCTTTAGTTCCTCTTTCTAATACAGTTACTCTGTTAGTTTGCTAGGGCTGCCATAACAAAGTGCCACAAATGGGATGGCTTAAGAAGAAACTTATTGTCTCATAGTTCTAAAGGGCAAAATTCTAAGATCGTGGTGTAAGTAATGTCCTTTCAAAGGGCTTTCTGTGAAGAAGAATCTGTTATGTGCCTCTGATGGTGTGCTGGTAATATTTGGCATTCTGTAGCTTGTAGAAGCATCACTGTAATCTGTGCCTTCATTTCACATGGCAACTTCCCTGAGTGCCAAGCTGTATCCAAATTTCCTTTCTTTAAAAAAAAAAATAGGCTTACACAGTATGGCCGGCGATATTAGCTAGCGCTCGCTCTACTCTCTCTAACGGGGAAGCAGCGGAATACAAGAGACTGAACTGTATCTGCCTCTATTTCCAAAAGACTCACATTCAACTTTCGCTCACACAAAGCCGGGAAAATTTTATTAGTCCTTTTTCTAAAAACAAAGTTAATATAAAATTATAGCTAAAAAAAGAGGAACCTGAACTTTAGTAACACAGCTGGAACAATCCGCAGCGGAGGTGGCAGCGGCAGGAGAAGAGGTTTAATTTAGCTGATTTTCTGTGGTTGTTGGTTGTTCGCTAGTCTCACGGTGATGGAAGCTGCACATTTTTTCGAAGGGACCGAGAAGCTGCTGGAGGTTTGGTTCTCCCGGCAGCAGCCCGACGCAAACCAAGGATCTGGGGATCTTCGCACTATCCCAAGATCTGAGTGGGACATAGTTTTGAAGGATGTACAATGTTCAATCATAAGTGTGACAAAAACTGACAAGCAGGAAGCTTATGTACGCAGTGAGAGTAGCATGTTTGTCTCCAAGAGACGTTTCATTTTGAAGACATGTGGTACCACCCTCTTGCTGAAAGCACTGGTTCCCCTGTTGAAGCTTGCTAGGGATTACAGTGGGTTTGACTCAATTCAAAGCTTCTTTTATTCTCGTAAGAATTTCATGAAGCCTTCTCACCAAGGGTACCCACACCGGAATTTCCAGGAAGAAATAGAGTTTCTTAATGCAATTTTCCCAAATGGAGCAGCATATTGTATGGGACGTATGAATTCTGACTGTTGGTACTTATATACTCTGGATTTCTCAGAGAGTTGGGTAATCAGTCAGCCAGATCAAACTTTGGAAATTCTGATGAGTGAGCTTGACCCAGCAGTTATGGACCAGTTCTACATGAAAGATGGTGTTACTGCAAAGGATGTCACTCGTGAGAGTGGAATTCGTGACCTGACACCAGGTTCTGTCATTGATGCCACAATGTTCAATCCTTGTGGGTATTCAATGAATGGAATGAAATCGGATGGAACTTATTGGACTATTCACATCACTCCAGAACCAGAATTTTCTTATGTTAGCTTTGAAACAAACTTAAGTCAGACCTCTTATGATGACCTGATCAGGGAAGTTGTAGAAGTCTTCAAACCAGGAAAATTTGTGACCACCTTGTTTATTAATCAGAGTTCTAAATGTCGCACAGTGCTTTCTTGGCCCCAGAAGATTGAAGGTTTTAAGCGTCTTGATTGCCAGAGTGCTATGTTCAATGATTACAATTTTGTTTTTACCAGTTTTGCTAAGAAGCAGCAACAACAGCAGAGTTGATTAAGAAAAATGAAGAAAAAACGCAAAAAGAGAACACACGTAGAAGGTGGTGGATGCTTTCTAGATGTCGATGCTGGGGGCAGTGCTTTCCATAACCACCACTGTGTAGTTGCAGAAAGCCCTAGATGTAATGATAGTGTAATCATTTTGAATTGTATGCATTATTATATCAAGGAGTTAGATATCTTGCATGAATGCTCTCTTCTGTGTTTAGGTATTCTCGGCCACTCTTGCTGTGAAATTGAAGTGCATGTAAAAAAAAACTTTTACTATATGAAACTTTACAACACTTGTGAAAGCAACTCAATTTGGTTTATGCACAGTGTAGTATTTCTCCAAGTATCATCCAAAATTCCCCACAGACAAGGCTTTCGTCCTCATTAGGTGTTGGCCTCAGCCTAACCATCTGGGACTGTTCTATTGCTGCCAGAATTTTACATTGAGTTACTTCCATTTTCTAGAACATATTCTTTACTAATGTTATTGAAACCAGTTTCTACTTCATACAGATGTTTTTTGAAACCGCAATTAAAGTTCTTCTTCCATGAGTCGAGTCCTTAAGAAAATGATTCCAGTTACTCATTTTGCATATTTATTATTTTAACATTATTGGACCCTGCATTTTTAGTGCTTTGATTTCTTCCCTCTCCCTGGTGTCTCCCCCAAGACCTCAAATAAAGCAATACACTGTTAACACTGTGGGTTTATATACTAATTCTATACTCTATAATTTATATACTCATCTATACCCCAGATGAGAAATGGGGGAGATGGTTCCTGGGCTTAACATTCTTTAAAGGGCATGGGAATTTAGCCTTATTTTTATTGTAATGTGCTTTTTTGGAAAGTAGTTGATTAGCAGGGATGACTCAGAGTCGTAGATTGAGATTAGAGTGTACTGGCTGAACTGTGGAAAACAAACAATTCTGTGTTCCTCAGTAAATGAGATTAGCATCTAATGAGTAGCACGCCTTTACTAACTTACTAAGTAGTGGTATAAAAGGATTTTTATTTAGTTAATTACCAGAGAGATTTAACATAATTTTGTTCTGGATTCAGTAAATCAAGTCAGCTTGGATCATTCACCTTAACTTTTCCTTTAGCAACTGTTTCCATTAGTGTTCTATAAACTTTGATCCAAAGCAGAATCAGTGTCTTTTCATCTTGTGACTTAAAGTTCTGTGACTGTGATGCATGTGAGTGTTCTGACTTCATCTGTTCCTCTAACTACGGTGTTTCCCTCACCATGGCATTCATAGGGTGAAATATGAATGACTGTCCAGAATGTGAATTGTCCAAATTCAGATAAACATCATGAAGCAGAATACATGAATAAATAAATAAAACATAAAATTCTAAAATATTGGAAAATGTCTAGAAATACAGACTTTCAAGAGTTGGTATCTTAGTTATATTTGCAGATACTCTGGGATTTTAAGGAACTGAGAAAACAGCAAAGTTAACTGAATTTTACATTTATTGTCCTCTAAATATTTTGATAATTTCTGGATTGATGCAGTGATGTTTTTGTTCCTTCCGTATTTATAAATGAAACACCTTTTTTTAGTGTTTCTAAACCTAAAATCTACTTGGTTTGAAATCAAGTGGTTGGAACACTGACTTTTTATTTGAAGCATGTTGTTGATTGAAAGTTTCATTGAGGAAGTTTTCCATCAGTGTGATCAATTTGATTCTGTAATGAGCACAGCATCTAATATTTTGAGGTGCTCTGTTTTGAGGACCAATGCTCAAGGTGGACTTTGCTGATACAAGATATCCCAATAGATTTGTTGACTTGAGGTCTGGAGGGTTTTTTCCTTTTTTTCTAATAGAATTAAGAATTCTAATGTTGAGAAACTGCACAAAGTTGTGTGGGACAAAGCCTAGAAAGCAGAAATGTAGATTGAATCATCATCTAAAGCATGATGTGATAGGGGAGGGAAAGTTTGGTGCCATAATTTCTCCTTTCACTGGTGTTGGACTTTAAATCAGTTGAAATGTATTTCTGTATCACAATTTACGCTTCAATAAAAGTTTAATTGTCTAGTGACATTCAGAAGAAAAAAAAAAATAAGGACCTCAGTTGTATTTATCTAGAACCCACTCTAATGACCTCATTAAAACATCTGAAATGATCCTATTTCCACATGAAGTCACATTCTGAGGTACTGGGGGTTAGGGCATAAATATGAATTTTGGGGAGCAGGCACAATTCAACCAGTAACATTGAACTCTAACTTCTCTCTCTTTTTAATTTTTTATTTTTTTGTCTCTCCAGAGAGTCAGTTCTAATTTTTTTCTTTTTTTAAATGTATTTACTTGTTTGTATTTTTTTAACTTATTTTTGAGTTTATAAAGATCATTGGAACTTATTGTCTGGATAAATACAATATGTTATTACTTCATACATTTATTTGCTTTCTATATTATTTATTATCTAGAAAATCTACTACATATATTTTTAAAAATTACATTCACCATAAAGCTATAGCCAAAAATAGCATTTTTTGTCCACAATTCTTTCCATTGCATAGTACCCTATTGAAAGGCAACCACTTTCATTTTTTGTAACTGTTTCTTTAAGTATTTACTTATGTTTTATAAATATCATGTTCATATTGACATTATTCATGTATCATCTAAATATTATCTCCTATTTCTAGTATGAAATGCATGAGGTAACATTTTTAGAAATATTTCCTTTCTATTCCCCACCATTCTGTATAATTTGCTCTGAAGTTTGGCTGTATCAATATTACTAAATTTGTATTTCCCTGATGACATATGATGTCGAAACTATTTTCATATATTTATTTGCCATCTGTTTATCTTCTACAGTGAGATGTCTGCTAAGATCTTTGGCCCATTTTTAAATTGGGTTGTTTGTTTTTTATCATTTAGTTTTAGGAGTTCATTGCATATTTTAGACTTAAAAAGATAAAAAATATATTGTTAAAAATATAGATTAAAATATCATATGTGATAATCTTTTATCATATATGTCTTTTGCAATATTTTCTACCCATCTATGAACTTGTCTTTTTATTCTTTTGATAATATATTTCAGAGAAGTTTTTAAATTTTAACTAAAAAAGCTTGTTAATGCTTTTTTTCATGGCTCATGCCTTTGGTGTCATATTTTAAAAGCCATTGCCAAATCCAAGTTCTTCTAGATTTTCTCCTGTGTCATTTTCTAGGAGTTTTATAGTTTTGCACTTTATATTTAGATCTGTGATTCATTTTGAGTTAGTTTTTGTAAGAATACAAGGTTTGTGTCTAGGTTTTTTTTTTTTTTTTTTTTGCATGCGGATGTGCAATTATTTCAGCACCATATATTGAAAAGACTATCTCTCTTCCCCTTTATATTCCTTTTCCTCTTTTGCAAAAAAATCAGTTGACTATATTTGTATGGGTGGACTTCTAGGTACACTATTCTGTTTCATTGATCTATTTGTGTATTCTTTGGCCAGTACCACACTGTTTTGATTACTGTAATTTTACTTTAACTCTTGAGGTCAGGTGTTTTCAGTTCTCAAACTTTATCCTTTTCCTTCAATATAGTTTTGCTATTCTGGGTCTTTTGCCTCTCCACATATACTTTAGAATCAGTTTGTCAATATCCATAAAATTACTTGCTAGAACTTTGGTATTGTGATGAATCTATTGGTCAATCTGGGATTAACTGAAATCTTGAAAATGTTGAGTCTTTCTATCCATAAACATCAAATTATTCACCATTATTTAATTATTTTATTCCTTTTAAAATAATTTGGCAATTTTTCTCATATAGATCTTGTACATATTTTGTTAGATTTTGCTGTGGTTTGAATGTATCCCCCAAAATTATGTGTAGGAAATGTAATCCCCAATGCAACAGTGTAGGGAGGTGGAGCCTAATGAGAGATGTTTAGGTCATGAGGACTCCATGCTCATGAATGGACTAATGCTGCTATCATGGGAAGATTCATTATCATGCAAGTGGATTTGTTGTAAAAGGGTCAGCCTGGCCTCCTTTTCACTTCCTCTTTTGTCCTCTCTGTGCCCTTCCACCTGGTGATGACTTCTGCCATGTTATTACACAGCAAGAAGGACTTTGCTGGATGCTGGCCCCTTGATTTTGGACTGCCCAGCCTCCAGAACTGTCAGAAAATAAATTTTTATATATTGTAAATTATCCAGTCTGTGGTATTTTGTCATAGTAGCCCCAAAAAAACTAAGATAGAAAACTGGTACAAGAGGAGTTGAGTGGTTCTATAACAAATATCTGAAAATGTGGAAGCCATTGAGAACTACGTAACAAGTAGAGGCTGAAAGAGTTTTGAAATGAATGCTAGAAAAAGCTTGTGTTGCTATGAATGGAGCATTAAGGTGATTCCAGTGAGAACTCAAAGGAAGAAGAGAGCTCTAGGGAAAGTTTGAAACTTCATATAGATTAGTTAAGTGGTTATGATAGGCATGCTGGTAGAAATAAGGGCAGTACAGGCCATTCTGATGAGGTCTCAGATGGAGATGGGATGCATCTGATTGGAAACCGGAGTAAAGGCCATCCTTGTTATATAGTGTCACAGAACTTTGCTGAATTGTATCCATACCCCAGGGCTTTATGGAAGGCAGAATTTAAGAGTGATAAACCAGGATATCTGGCAGAAGAAATTTCTAAGCAAAATATTGTAGGAGTTGTGTGGCTTCTTTTAACTTCATACATTAAAATACAAGAAGAAATAAATTATCAAAAGACAAAACTAGATTGAAATAAAATGATTTGAAGGGAAATATACTTAGAGATTTAAAGGATTTTCAGCCAAACCATCTGGTACAGAATAAAAAATCCTTTTCAGGAGAGAAATCCAAGGTTGCGGCCAAGTACACATTTGATAAGGAGATCAGTACCGCTAAGGAGACCAGGTGTTTTTCATCAAGATAATGGGAAATGATCCTGAAGACATTTCTATGATCTTTGAGGCTTTCCCTGTCATCATAGACCCAGAGCTCTAGGAGGGCAGAATGATTTTGGGGAATAGTCTAGGATGCCCTCCACAAGCTCCTTATCCGGGGCCACTTTGGGCCTCTGTTCCCTGTGTTTATTAAAATATGTTCCCCACAGTCAAGCAGCTCAGTCCTTGTCTCCCACAGCTGTGGCTTAAGCAGCCTCAAGTGCAGCTCTGGCCACTGCTCCTGAGGGCTCAAGCAGTAAGCCTTGAGGCATTTATGTGGTGCTGGCTCTGTAGAAGTGCTGAGTTCATGGGCTATGGGGTTATGGCAGCATCCACTAATCAAAGAATGTATTAGGCAGCCTGGGACCCAGGCAGAAACCTGCTGCTAGGGCAGAACCACTAAGCAATGCTTAGTGGAACTGAGGTAGTGAGGCTACTGCAAAGAGTCCTCACTAGGGCAAGGCGTGATGGAGCTGCTGTGGTGGGGCCATTCCCAAGACCTCACAACTGCAGAGCTACCAGTCTGCAACACCCATTGGAGAGCTGTAGTCATGACACCCTAGGCTGTGAGAGCTGCTATACCAGCTGAGCCCAGCAAAGCAATAGAGGTGGGCTGCATAAAGCCTTAGTGGCTAACCTCCTACCCCAGTGTGCTAAAAAGGTAGGTCATAGAGTTAAAAAACAAAAAAAATTATTATCCAGCTTTAAGATTTAATGTTGTTTCTCCTGTTGGGTTTTGGACTTTACTCAGACAAGTCAT